AACGCAACTAGATTGCAATCAGTGTGAGAAATAATTTAAAAAAAATACGAAAGGATATCTAACTTTTCCCGTAACGGATTATTAAATGCATATTCCTTCCGTTCGTTTCTTTTGTTAGTTTATATAGCAGAAATGATATTTAAAATAATTTCTAAAGAACATTTAAGGTTGTCCTGCTTGAAAAAAGGAGTTAGTCAAGGCTCTGGGCAAGGACATGCAATCTTTTGAGAAACTGTTTAGTCAATATTTAAGCCAATTTGTATTGGATTAACCATTTCGGGTATAATGTATGTATCGGGTCCAATTTTGTCCAATGTACATCATGAAAATCAAGAAATATTGATCATACTAAAAAGCATTAACTAATTTTGTCAATTTTTTTATCGAATTTTAAAAAATTTTGATGAAAATTGAAGATATTTGGGTTCTACCATAATTCCTGCATGTAATTTCTTTTTTAAATCCGTTGAAAGACAACTTAAATATTAACAAAATAGAAGTTCTGATTCACAAAGTGTATCTCGTTTTGAAATTGAAAAATAAATCATAAAGCTATTCAATAAAATGTGCTTAACAAGTTTCGGATTTGTTTCTTTCTTCTTTCTTTCTCCATCCAAATGTATAAATAAAAAATCCAATCTATGTATATTTTGATTTTTACATTACTCATATCATATTCACCTGGGAGCTCATATTTTTTTTTTTTATAGCCAAAAGTTTATTGCCAAAAGATCATTAATTTCACGACCAAAGCGTTGATTTCTTTCAGATATAAAAAATTCTTTAATGATTGATCGTTAAATTTTGAAAGAAAATAATAATGATGCGTGCATGTCCTTGAAAAGTTAAAAACTTTAGACTGGGAATCATTTTATTACTTTTTTACAATGATTTTAAAGAGTAAAAAATTTCGTATCAATTCTCTTTAAAAATATGTACTTGCCTTCCCTGTTGAAAATATCCTGAGCTCTCACTCTCTATTTTGAAAAATCTCCCCGAGTGTGTTATAAAATTCTGCGGGAAGGTCAGCGAATTTTTCGTTCGTATTTGGCAAACATAGGAGCGCGAAACGTTTTTCTGTTTTATGTCCTTAACAATTGAACACGCCGCTGTCAGGCGACGTAGCCCAGCATCCTTTATCCTTTATACATATATGTAGGCCTAGCTACCCCTTTCCCTGATGGCCGTGACAATGACAGGCCTTTTGCTAAAATGTAGCATTTATAAAAATTTCAAATCACAAAATTTCCAACAAAAATAAAGCCCTGAATGGCAACAAAAAAGGGTTGATGTGCCATTGCGATTGCAAGTCCAGCAGGAGATTCCCTACTGCTGTGCGTAAATATATATACATACATGCTTATATAATATGTATCAAGGATCTAGATATTCCCTAAACATTCGTACATGGTTTCCCTCGTCAGGATATCTCAAAATCAACTTGCTGGCCAAAGGCGACTTCTTAATCATATGCACGTGCTGCCGCTGTCCAAAAATAAAAAGGATGTGTTGACAACAACAACCAAAACAATGCCAACACGCATCCTGTCCGGCGCTGGTCAAGCGGCCGGTCACTTTGCCAGCCGAGGGGTTAACTTTTGTCGGGCACGCGTCACCGAAAATTTCTACAAAAACACACAATGAAAATTCATCAAAAACCCTAACATGGAAATGGCCTGTGGTCAAGGGCATAAAACGATTTGGGTAAACTGGTTTTTCCGGCAAAACGCCCGGAAAATTGTGTGAAAATGCACAAAGCAACAGCTTAGGCTATAATTAAGCGGTTAAGCGGTTGAGCCCATACAATTTCAAAGATTTTTAATTGAAAGATTTAAAAGCCATTTTCTAGGTATCCAAAAATATTTATTCCAATTATGGGTATATAAAAAATCCTGTAATTTTAAATTTTAAACTATCTTACTAACCTTTAAAAATTGCCATCTAAATACTTATTACCCATAAACTATAATTATTTTTTAACAAAAAGGGATGGTTTTTTTTTCACCTTAGGAAAATTGCAATTTTGGTTTTATGATTTCACTTTTTTCAATAAAAAGTTTCCTATTTCCAAAACCAGGACGGTTCGATCGATCGACGCCCCTTTAACCCTACTGAAACCCTATCCAGCCATCGATCATGATCGCGCTTCCTTCCGCAAAAAATTCCCACAGTGCAAAAAATCGGCGAAGGATTGCGTTTGAGATTAGGAAAAGGAGCGGAGTCTAGCGAAAAGGAAATTTACGAGCGATCGAATAACCAAAAAAAGGAACCAGGTATCAAAGGGTGCAAAAATTGCAGAGGTCCTGCGGCCGGGTTCAAATGTGTCACGTCTTATGATGTCATTGCTGGTGATGCTGCAGCAGCAACCCCATTCCCGGAGATAGTTATCAGCCTTCCTTCGTCCTTATGCCTATTCTCCTGACCCCGATCCTTGCCGGTTCACAGTAAATTACGCGCAGAGGTGAAATGCAAACAAAGACGGATAGGCCTGGCCTTTGGCAAAGGTCTATCTTAAGGTCTCCAACCCTTGCTCGGTCTTTACTTTTTTGTGCCCTTTTCCCCTTTTTCTTGAGATCTTTTTTTGTGACGAATTTAATGATTTTTGCCTCAAAATTGAAGCGATTTTTCATTGACCCAAGAGCGGGGTGGGTTCAGAGTTCGGCGCGTCTTGGCCTGAGTCTCTGTTATTCCAGCTTGAACTGGCAAATGCGTTCACCCGTGAAGACTTCGCTCCAAGAAGAGGTTTCCTGGCCCGGTTTTGTGGGTCATTGTCGCATTAAGCCAAATTTATGGCAATCGAATGCCAATAGTCATGCAGATTAATAGGAAAGGATGCCCAAAGGTGAACTATCCAAGAAATGGCCTTTGTTCGATGTTGGGTGGGTCAGGGAATGTGATTTATTGCCATAGATATTTTACAGGGGTTTTTCCTGAAAAATCTGATTTAAAGCTTATTTTATTTGGATTTTTTAAGCTTTGGAAAACAATAATAGCTATATTCATATCTTATAGAGTTAATCTAATAACTATAATTTCTGCAAAAGTGAAATCTATTTCGCTATATCAAATATCTATAACAAGTGGTAATATACATGAATAGAATAATTACACTATACATGTTTGTAATGCCCCTAATATGGTGATTATTTTGGGTGGTTGAAAATAAATAATCTTTTTTACATCAAATAGGAGGTACCACAAACATCAACAAGCAAATTTCTGCTTGAATATCAAATACTTTAACCATAAAATCAACATTTATCAAAAAAAGGGAAAATAGACACAATTCGAACAGACTTTTCACTCATCCACTGAACATGCAAATTTCCAATGCGAGTCGAGAACAAAGGCCAGGATTTTTGGAAATAATTTAATGCTACATTTGAGTGAAGAGCACCGCGAGGATTGGCCAAAGGGTCAGGGGAGGATGTGGAAATAGGAAATCGGAAGTAGACCAGCACGCTGACCCTAAATTATAAAGTTACAAAAGCGCGGGCAACCCTTTAGCTACCCCCGAACGAATCGAGTTACAGGGACTCGGCTGGACCGAGGACCAGCAAGGACCCTTGGACAGCGCTGTCAACTGCGGATCTGGTGGGCTTGTTAGCCGCCTCGCCCTTCGGGGCTGCGTATTCAAATTGCTGATGCCAGCCCGGGGATTTGACCAAACAAATCCCTTCTAATTTAGACCGGTGAGGCTGCGCATGTGCAGCAGATTAAATTTTGGACTTCGTGCAGCTTTCGATGCACAAACTCGGGCAAACTGGTTTTAGATTTCCAATGCCCCGGGATGCTGCGTGACCCATCCATCAAAGGACGTGGACGATGCACGAACACAGGGGCAAAAACAACAAGTCATTTGAAGTTTTAATAGATGCTGCATCCTTTTGTTACAAAAAGAAGCTAAAACTGGTTTTTAAAAAGCGGACCAACCCTTTCACCGGACGAACATATTTTTTTCCCAATTTTATTTCCTTAGATTCAGGCGAGTTTCCCTGGGAAACGTCTTGTACGGCTGCATTTTTATAAAAATTTTTTCTAATTTATTTTGATAGAATTTATCTCTCGCCGCTTAATGAGCACTTTGGGTTATGGAATCTTGAAATAGTTTGGGAAAATAAAAAGGTATTTTAAAAATTCATAAATTTATTGATAATAGAATTGCAATAAATTATTGAAGAACTCTTGGGAAATAAAATAAAGGAAGAATATTAACTAAAAATAGGATGCAGGATGCAGTTTTATAAATCTGTTAGAAAAAATGTGCCACGCGTCAGTCACTTAATCAAAAATTCAAGTTCAACCCTTGGAAACACTTCAACTGACCGCTGACCACCTCGCTTGGACTATCATTGCTAGCATTGTTTCCTCCCTTTCCCTTTTTTGAGTTCAAAGAGGGGTCAATATGTGGCACGCGCGGATGGTCAGGATTCTGTTGATGTATCCGGTGGAATCGCAACCGACAAATTTAACGGATATTTCGAACAAAGCAAAAAATTTCAATTTGCAAAAACATATATTATGAATTCATTAAAAGAGCTTTGTTATGCAAATTCATGAAACTGATTATCCACCAACTATTAAGGTGGGCCTGGCACAAGGAAAGGTGTTTGCATATAAATCCAGAGCGGTTTTTACATTTATGAAATTGAACTTTTTATTTTAAAGAAAAACAAGGACACTAAAGTTAAAAATTAATGAATAAAACAAAACCATAAAACTGAATAAAACTAAAAATTCATAAAACCTTAATATATATAGATTTTGTTGCAATAAACATAAATGATAAGGCATAGATATTTTTGTTAAAACATTGTTAAAAAAATTTTAATATACCACTAAATTTCCTAATTTCCTCTAAAGAGTTTAGAATTTTCTAAATTCTATTTTAAATATCGCGCCATGTTACGCTTTACCAACACTTTTCAGGGCTGAAGAGTCTTTTACAATTTATCGGTTTAACCAAATGAGACACATTTTCAAAGAAACGGTCACTCTACACGAAATCTTCCCGCGAGTTAAACATTGCGGATTTTTTTGTATATGTTTTGAGACATATTAAAGAAAAACAACAACCATTTATTGACTATCAATGGTCACCTGAGGTTAGTAATCAAAAGGTTTATAAAATGTTGAATGCCGTTTTTACCCTTTACTTTTTCTTCAAGATTTCACCATGGATGAGGAGAACAACAACAACGCAACACTTTCCGAAGTAGAAGCGAAAAAATCCGCGGAAAAACGCAAAATTAATGGGAACTTAGACGTAGAATCCAGCGAAAGTAAACGTTTAAAAGGCGATGATGCAAAAGTGGTCGTTCCTCCACGCCCACCGCCTGTAAGCCCAAAAAAACGCCTTCATCTCAATGGAGCCAACCAAACTAACAAACCCAAGCATGACAAGAAACTGAACTTTGTTTATGGCAACTATAAACACTATTACGGCAAGCGCATCCTTGACAAGGACTTCCACGACATACGTCTTGATGTTCTAGCTACCCAACCCGATTTGTTGCGTGACAAGCAAGTGTTAGACATTGGCTGCAATTCGGGACATCTCTCTATTCAAATTGCTCGGCAGTTTCACCTCAAAAGTCTCGTAGGCCTGGACATCGATCAAGGACTAGTCAAGGCCGCACAATCCGCGATTTATAACCTGAAAAGTCCACAGAATTCTGGTCCAGGATTCCCAAACAATCTTAGGTTTTTGCAGGGCAATTACGTCCTTGATGACGATGTGTTGCTGGAGATTGAGCGCCCGCAGTTTGATGTGATACTCTGTTTGTCAGTCACCAAGTGGATTCACCTTAATTTCGGTGATGCCGGGCTGAAGCAGGCCTTCCGCCGTATGTTCCTACAGCTGCGCCCAGGTGGCAAGCTAGTTCTGGAGCCTCAAGCCTTTGATGGATACAAAAGGCGTAAGAAGCTATCGGTTAGTAGACCTTTAAAACTTATCCTTCCATTAATTAATTCCTTTTTTATTTCAGGAACAAATCAGGGAAAATTATAATAATATTAAATTCCGCCCAGAACATTTCACGGAATACCTTCTCGGTCCAGAGGTGGGCTTTGCCTCCGTGGATCTCATGGGTATACCTGAGCATTGCAAGGCTGGATTCAAGCGACCTATTGAGATATTTACCAAACCTCAAGGAATCAAAGACTCAAGTACAAACTGTGATTAAGTTAAGGATCCTTTATCCTTAATAATCGTTTATAAATAAGTTAACAAATAAGTCGTTGGAATCGTATAATATTAGTGCTGTTTCGCACGTTTATTTTTGTTTGGCGAGCCGGGTGGAGAAGGCAACTTGGCCAAGATATCAGGCACCAATTTGAGTAGATCCTCTGATGTTGATTTGAAATCACTGTCTGCCCAATGGAGCTTTAGTTCATTCATAACCTGTCCAACTTTTTTTCCTTTCAAACCAAGACTACTGAGAGCATGGCCGTTGACTGGGAAGGTGGGCTTGGGCCACGATTTGAGCTGCTGATACAAATCTAGTTTATTTGTATACTTGAGCAACTGCTCAACATAGTCCCTATTGACATTAGGTTGAATGCAGAGTTTCTGGTAGTCTCGAATACTTTTGTAGTCTGTATCCACCTAAAAGATGAAAATAAAAATGTTAATTTTTGTAAGAAAATAAAAAGGAAGTGAGTTATTACCTTTTCTCGTTGCTGGGTGATGAATAAAGCCAGATCCCTTTCGTAGGCGGATAACTTGAGTCGATTGTGCATGTCCATCGCATCATTTACGGAGTTCAGCATTCCTGACATGTACAGAATAGGATAGTGCGGCTTTTCAAACTTTTCCAAAGCTTTGCAGAGTCGTTCGAATTCTTCTAAATTGGGCTTGACAGGAAATCCAATGTGCTCGAAGAGATGACAGCGATTCATCTCCAGCAACAAATCGCTTCCAAAGTTCCCCACAACTATTTTTTGCAGCTCCGCCCAGATACGCTCTCCACTAATCCTCGCCAAGCCTGCAGCATTGTCCTTCACCGCTTGCAGAGTAGCTTCGTCGTGGCTCTTTGAATCTTTAGCAATTCGTCCATAGAAACGGAAGTAACGTAGAATGCGTAAGTAGTCTTCCTTGATACGGATATCCGCATCCCCAACAAAAACTACTCGGCGATCCTGCAGATCATCGTAGCCATAAAAGTAGTCATAGACGGTGCCGTCGAGCCCAAGGAACATCGAGTTGATGGTTAAGTCGCGCCGATTGGCATCTAGCTGCCAGTCGGTGGTGTACACCACCTCCGCGTGCCTGCCATCGGTACGAATGTCGATGCGTAGAGTGGTGACCTCAAAGTTCTCCTTGTCGTTGATTCGCGGTGTTATGGTTCCGTGTTTCTCGCCATTGGCGTTGATCATCCTCACTTCCTCCTTTTCGAACATCTCCTTCATCTGGCTTGGAGTGGCTGTAGTGGCGAAATCAATGTCTTTCGGCTCCATATTCATCAGAATGTCGCGCACTGCACCGCCGGCGATCCTCAGCTCGTAATCGTACTTTTTGAACAACGAAACAAGGGACTCTAGTTCTGGTGTAAATATGCTTTGGAATTCGGGAGAGCTAATCTTTTTAAAAGCTGGATCCTTTCGCATTTTTGGCGGCTTTCCCAGCTGGGCTACTAATTCGGGAGAAGGATCACGAGGATTAGTGGGACTCGGTCCCATGACGCCGACTGTTTTGGTCCAGCAACTGCTCTGACGGAGATTCAAGCCCAACGAGGTAAAGGCACGGGCGGTCAGTTTAAGAAGGTTACCTGAACCATTCATGGATCAGCTTTCCTAGGCCTTAGAAACTACTTCCTTTAGCTGGAACACGCTTTTTTTTTACCGAATAATATTTATAGTTTGACAGTTGTGAGACCAGATGTTTTCTCTATTCCGCACCCTACAATATTAGGGTATTTCGGGTTTTATGTAAACATTAAATATATATAACTAAACCAATTCTTTCTTATGTAAGTAATTTATTTATTATGTACAATATAAGAAACATTTTTAATATTGTAAAAAATTTATAAAAAGATTTGCCCAGCAAAATATATTTTAATGTTTTTTCTTAATAAATTTCTTTTATTTTCTTATTTTAAACAAAGTAAGCCTTTTTCAAAATAGTCTTTTTTGGCACGCATTTGAAAAAATTAAAAAATTCATATCCTAAATTTTAAAGGGTACAATAGAAAGTTTCCTTTTTTTACTGCAGATAAAGCTTTATTCATTTTTCCCGCCTCCAAGCAAGGTCACATTGGATTCAAACCTGTTACTTTGTTTACCATTTTCCAGACATTTGAATTAATGCCACCGCGCCTGCCACTTGCACCGCTTAGAAACCTCCTGCCATTTGGACGCGGATCTAGAACCATGAGCTCCCAACCAACTGTATACGTGACCCGTCCGGATGTTGATTCCAGCGGTTTGGAACTTTTGCGTAAGAGGTTGTTGTTTCTCCAAATTACCACCGGCTTATTAGCATATGTTTTAAAATTAATATGCTTGACTTTTTGCAGCTGCCAGGTGAGCACTTGGAATGAGGCCTTGCCCGTACCTCGGACCGAGCTTCTGCGGCAAATTGCTGGAAAGGATGCCTTATACTGCGCTTTGACTGATAAGATTGATAAGGAAGTGCTGGATGCTGCAGGTTCCCAGCTTAAATGTGTGGCCACCATATCGGTTGGCTACGAGCACATTGACGTGGAAGAGTGCAAGAAACGTGGCATTCGCGTAGGATACACTCCGGATGTCCTAACTGATGCCACGGCGGAGCTTACGCTTGCTCTTCTCTTGGCCACCAATCGGCGGTTGTTCGAGGCCAACAAGCAGGTCTATAACGGTGGCTGGAAGTCCTGGGCGCCCATGTGGATGTGTGGCCAAGGGCTCAAGGGATCTCGAGTAGGTCTCTTTGGCTTTGGACGCATTGGTCAAGAGATTGCGGCACGCATTGTCCCTTTTAAGCCGTCGGAGATAACCTACACGACCCGAACGCAACGTCCTCAGGAAGCAAAGGTGGTCAACGCCCGATACGTAGACTTTGATGAGATGCTGTGCAACTCCGACTTTATCGTTGTCTGTTGTGCTTTGACTCCGGAAACCAAAGAAATTTTCAACGCCGAGGCCTTCCAGAAAATGAAATCGAACTGCATCTTTATCAACACAGCTCGCGGAGGAAATGTGGACCAGAAGGCTCTATACGAGGCCCTTAAATGCAAACGTATTTTGGCCGCTGGTCTGGACGTGACCACTCCGGAGCCTCTGCCACTTGATGATCCGTTGTTGACGCTTGACAATATTGTTATCCTTCCCCATATCGGCAGTGCTGATATCGAAACTCGCAAAGAAATGTCGCGGATAACAGCACGAAATATTTTAGCTGCTCTGGCTGGAGAAAAAATGGAAGCTGAAGTAGGACTCTAGACTTTTCACATTATCTTAAAATTACTACATATATAGGGTCGAACCTTATGCATTTTCCAATCGAGTAAATAAGGGAATAAGGGACAGTTTTTAACTTTTTTAAAAAGTACACGTTGTGTAATGGAACTTTAGTCCCAAAACCCCATAATAAAACTTAAATAAAAACCTCTCAAAAAACCTGTAAATTACAACTCTAAAAGTGGAATAAAACATCAATAATTGGAATATTATAATTTAACCATTGTCTTATTAGGTAAGTTGCAGAAATTCTATGGCTAAACAACAAAATCAATCTGCTTTCACTAATCCTCCCCTGGTGGCAAAGGCTGGTTAAGATCGCTGGAAACTGGTGCGGGTACAGGCAGGGGCGTTAGGGAAGTTAGTACAGGTACTGTAGAGATGACACCAATATCCGAAGGATCCAGAACCTCCTTTTTAATGTGATCGGCACTGATATAACCGCCGCTTTCATCCTAAAAGAAAGAACTTATAAATAAAATCAAAACAAAAAAATATTTTGTAGTTACCGTGACAAATACATCGACCGACTTTCCGGATATAATATCCAGCACCTGCTGGGTAATGCCACTGCCGTTCATCGGCTCGTCTTGCATGCTGTCTGCGTACTCCATCAGCGCCGGTCTTAGGTCAGGGCACTGCTGCAGTGCGTCAACCAACTGGGCGGGTGGAAGGTGAAGCAACACAGGCAGAGACTGCGGCTTGAGGCGCTGTATAGTCTTGAGGAAGCCCTCCCAGATAACCTTTTGCCGCCAGACCTGCTTCATGATCAGCCGTTGCAACAGATTGAGCACAAAGTTGGATAGACGAGGGTACAAAGTCAAACTTTGGATTGTAGTTCGCATCATAAGAGTGGGCAGAGGGTTAACCTCCAATAGTTGCTGAAGAACCGCCATTAGGACCTCCTGTGTGTACAGTTCACGTTCGCCCAAACACAACGAAGTGGCTTTTACTATAGACTTCAGGTCACAAACACTCGGATCCATAGTGTGAAGGGCCACCAGTATATCTGTCGGTGACAGGGCCATTGTCTGATTGGCAAACTCGGCCCCGATACCGAGCAATCGATTAAAAACTTCCTTGACCACAGCGGGATTCAATTTGATAAGCTTTGGCAGCACGGCAATAAGCTCGGCACGAGATAAACCGCTCAATACGGGTATCATCACCCGCACATCCTTAACCTTGTGCTGGTAGAGATCGCGTACTCGACGTACCAGATCCACGTGAGGCGTGGGCACGCGTTCAGTTAGTATGTAAATGATGCGGATCACTAGAGTCTCCATGCCCTTCGGGCAATCTTCTATCAGTTTAAGAAGTACAGGGTTCTCTACGCCCAGCTTTTTAATGGGCATGTCGAGGCTGCGGAGGATTGTGCGTTTTAGTTCCGAAGAGGTGGACACAAACACTTGACACACCTTATCAAGGTAAACTGTAACCAGGATAAAATATTAACTATTAGTTGTGGTATATGGATATAATCAATGTACACTAACCTTCCGGCTTGTAAGGCATCAGGGTCAGCGCCAAACCCAGGCATACTTTGGCTGTATCCTCACACCAGGCTGAATCCGCTGTGGGACGGCCATAGTCCGCTGAAAAGATTGCTGCAGGTGGCGTCTCCAGCTCCACATACTTTAGCCATTCCAATGCGAACTCATCAATCCTTGAGGGCAGAATTTTGTGGACATGGTAAAGGGTCACCAGGTGAGCCAAAGCGCGATCCTGAAGATCAGCACGTTCGTGAACCGAAAAATTGAGCAGCACGCGCAGAAATCGATTCTTGCGAGGAGGCCTCAGCACTGCCAAGTCCTTTATGAGCTCAAGGCCGTACTGGCTGAACTCGTCAATAAGACTTAGCTGCACTAGGTGCCCGATGGCGTCTTCGGGCAGAATGGGCGCCTCTAGATAAACGCGACGTAGAAGTATAATCTTCTCCTTGTGTTCGCATTTTTCCCCGATCCCGAAGATCAGCTGATTGAGAAGTTCGTTGTAGGCGTGATCTGGACGATTCTCAGTTTTTACGTAGGTGTGCCTTGTGAATCCCTGCAGAAGGGAGTACTCCTCAAACAGCCACGAAAAGGCCAGGTCTATGCGTTGTTTAACGTCCTCTAGAATAAACTCCATAATGCCGTAACGTACATTGTCCGGAAAAGTGGCGGCTATCACAGTGACCAGCTTTCTTCGCCTGGAGGCCACACCCCCTTTGATGCACTGGCGTTCCGAGTTTAAAATGCGACGCACTGCATCTGTAAGGAACTTTTCTTTTATGTTGCGCGGTAATGGTTTAGTTATCTCCTGTAACTTTAGAGTCTTGGCGCGCTCCTTCATCCGTTCGATCACCGTTTGTTCACCCTTGGCGCGTTCCATTGTCTCGCGCAGCTTTTTAGTAGCTTCTTCCTTGCGCTGAAGTTCCTCCTCGCTGTGTTTCCTGGCTGACTCTTCATCCACTTCCATGGAACTGCTTTCGTTATCGCGCACCTGAACTTTCTTCACTTTCATAGGTGGCTCCCGACTGAATGTGGCAGCTCCCGGTCCCAAACGTTTCTCGGTAAGTTGCTCCCCGAACATCCGCGAAATATTACTAACCTGCTGCTGCAAGGACATCTGCCGAATGGGAGTGTATTCGTCCAGAAACTTTTGTGGAGCCTCTGCCGGCAGAGTGGGCAGGAATTCCACAACTAGAGAAACTACAGTTTCAGGGGCGCGCAAATGCTCCGCCAGGAACTTTTCATTCACCCGTGTGGACTTTAATTTCTGCCTTTCCAACTCCTCAGTATCAAGCTCCATCTCTCGAGAAACCTCTCGTTCACGCTGCTCGTTGGCCAGTCGAGCTCGTTTCGCCAAACTTTGAGCAGCGTTTTCCAGAATGCGCTTTTGCCGCCTTGCCATCTCCTGCTTGTCCATTTTAGGCATAAGCTTTTGAATCTCGCTTGAAGATGAGCCAAGATCCAGCAGCAAGCCACGGATGGTAGCGGAGAACTCGAAGGCTCCACGGTTCTTCAAAAGTGTCTGTAGCTGCATTTTCAAGCTCTTGCGAACAGAGCTCACCTGGGAGTCGGTAAGTGTTGGTGGTAAGTTGGCGTTTAATTGCTTAAAAGCTTCCACTACAGCTCCCATGAAAACTGGCCGCATCTTGGCCACAGTGCACAAGCTACTCGTGCATGCAATCAAGTTCACAGATGAAATATGGGTTGTGCCATGAAACTGCAGCATTATGTCGAATATATTGTTAGCCTCTTCCTGCAACTTTTGGCGGCGAAAGAGTTGACAGTGTTCCGGAACGTCAGCTAGCGAAAAGTCTCCATCCCTTTTCAAGCTATCCTCGTCAGCATAACTCTGAAGAATGATGACACCCTCCAAGAACTTAATTGCGTTTGTGCGAATACCGTCGTTCTCGTTGTCGATCAAATCAAGAATCTGGGCCTTAATAAGGCTAAGTACGTTCCACGATTGCTCGGCACTGTCACCGGGCTCGGAGAGGTTGCACAAGTACTGCAATCCGTTCTTATAGATGCTGCCACAGGCTTGAATCACACGCTTAATAACCTGGGCCGATTTATCACGCAATAACATGGAAACAATATTGATCAAATGTGGCAGTAGTTCCACTTTAACTTTGCTGGAATCGAAATTATATTAAAGAAAATGGAATTACAAAGAATTTGGAATTATTACCAAACTTGCTCCACGAACGCAACTACCTGCTTGCGGACCTCCATATTCTGATCGTGCGCCTGAGACAGGATCGGTTCCAGAAATTCATCAGCTAACTCCACACATGATCCCAGAATAGTCTCCTGGATCTTGACGAGCAATTCGCACTTTATGGATGCCGATGCAATTACCAGTTCGTTGCACCACTCTACCACCTAAAATTGTTGAAGAAAAAATTATTTGTTTGGAGGTTTGGAATTGAATTTTCTTTTTACCTTTGACCGGGCGATCGCAGTCTTTTCATCTGTGAAAAGATTGGCTGTCTCCGAGACAAATTGACTGCGTCCAATTATGCTATCCATTATTGGTCTTTTTAACAAACTCTACTTAAAATTAAAAAAATATTTAGTCGTTTAAGAGTCGCCGGCACAGATGATACCAAGCGAGCATCGATAACACCACCTGGACGGATGCTCAATGAGCGGTTAATCGTAAGTTTTAGCTATTTTTATCAATAAAACCAATAAATGGGAAATTAAATATTTCAATTATAGCATGTTGAAGTGAATCCGCTGGAAATATTGAAAGATTGAATATTGTCACAAAATATTTTTTTTTTATGAACTTTAAATTTTGCAAGCTATTTATCGATAGTTGTGTCATGCGACGGACTTCTGATTTGCGGGGGTGACTATCGATAGGCTCGATGCATCGATTTACTCACATTTCTTGGGTGTTTTAAAAAGAAAAGCGTGAAAAACGGCCCAAATAAACGAATCATCTGCGTGTCGGGAAGAAAAGTGCATCGAACCGAAAGCCATACCTTCCGCAGCTGTTGAAGGCCTCGAAAAATACTGCCAAATAGTTAAAGTAACCGTATCAGTCGTCTCGCAGTCGCAGCGCAGCGAGTGTTATTTAGCGCAGGGGGGAGGGAGTGTATGTGCGTGTGTATGTGTGGGCCAGTGAGTGGGCAGAGGAGCAGCAGCGGATGTGGATGTAGCTCGAAGGAGCCCGCAGTCAGCAGCGGATACCACGAAAAGCAAACGGAGACAAGAAAATAAACACTACACTGGAAACCTTAAACGCGGCAACGCATAGGAGGGGTTTTCTGGAACAACAGCAGCAGCAACCGCCGAAGTCGCAGCAGAGACTGAGCAGAGGCAGAGACAGCCGCAGCCGCGTCGGTGACCGCACCCTAATGTCAAATAGCCAAGCAAATGCCGGCAGCAGTGGTAGCGCGGTAGCGGATGAACCGATCCAGCTCCAACCCCCCACAAATCCGAATCCGAATCCGAATGCATCCAGCCAAGCAGCAGCTGCAGCAGCAGCGGCAGCAGCTACGCCGGCGTCGCAGCAGCAGCAGCCCCCTCACATAGTCGGAGCCTCAACAGCTGATGCGGGCACAAGTAGCGTTCAGGTGTCCGAAGGGGTCAACCTAGATTCGTCGCCCCGCGAAAGCGGTGACGATTCTGAGGATGAAAGTGAAATCCTGGAGGAGTCGCCATGCGGACGGTGGCTGAAGCGGCGCGAGGAGGTCGACCAACGCGACGTACCCGGGATCGACTGCGTCCACCTGGCCATGGACACCGAGGAGGGTGTCGAGGTGGTGTGGAACGAGGTGCAATATGCTAGCCTGCAGGAGCTCAAGTCGCAGGAGGAGAAGATGCGACAGGTGTTCGACAATCTCCTGCAGCTGGACCACCAGAACATTGTCAAGTTCCACCGCTACTGGACGGACACACAGCACGCGGAGCGTCCTCGGGTGGTCTTCATCACCGAGTACATGTCGTCGGGCTCGCTGAAACAGTTCCTCAAGCGCACCAAGCGCAACGCCAAGCGGTTGCCGCTGGAGTCTTGGCGCCGCTGGTGCACCCAAATCCTGTCCGCCCTCAGCTATTTGCATTCCTGCACGCCGCCCATCATTCACGGCAACCTAACCTGTGATAGCATCTTCATCCAGCACAACGGTCTGGTCAAGATCGGCTCGGTGGTTCCCGATGCGGTCCACTACAGCGTCCGGCGGGGCCGAGAACGGGATCGAGAGCAAGAACGCGAGCGCGAACGGGGAGCCCACTACTTCCAGGCGCCGGAGTACGGAGCAGCCGAACAGCTTACAGCCGCCCTCGACATCTACGCGTTCGGGATGTGCGCTCTGGAGATGGCCGCCCTAGAGATCCAACCCAGCAATAGCGAGTCGACTGCCATCAACGAGGAGACCATCCAGCGCACAATCCTCAGCCTTGAGAGCGACCTGCAGCGCGATTTAATACGCAAGTGTCTCAATCCGCAGCCGCAGGATCGGCCCAGTGCCAATGATCTGCTCTTTCACCCACTGCTTTTCGAGGTGAGTGGTGTGGTTTCTGTTATACACCAGTTTATAGCAGACACCAATTAATTAATGACAGTTTTTAGTATCAATATCAAGTGTACTTAGGGAGAGCTGTCTTTTTTTTAATCGATTACATTTTTTAGTTCCTCTGACAGTAGTCTTAGTTTTGTCAAAAAAACAGTATTTAAAATTTGATTTGTTTGTTTGCAGGTACACTCCCTCAAACTACTGACGGCCCACTGTCTGGTCTTTTCGCCCGCCAACCGCACCATGTTCTCGGAGACCGCTTTCGACGGACTGATGCAACGCTATTACCAGCCGGATGTTGTGATGGCCCAACTGCGAATGGCTGGCGGGCAGGAGCGACAATACCGCCTAGCCGACGTCTCTGGAGCCGATAAGCTCGAGAAGTTCGTCGAAGATGTGAAGTATGGGGTGTATCCGCTGATCACGTACAGCGGCAAGAAGCCGCCAACTTTCCGTTCGCGGGCCGCCTCACCAGAACGGGCTGACTCTGTGAAATCGGCCTCGCCGGAACCGGTGGACACCGAGTCGCGGCGCATCGTCAACATGATGTGCAGCGTGAAAATCAAGGAGGACAGCAACGACATAATCATGACAATACTGCTCCGCATGGACGACAAGATGAATCGTCAGTTGACGTGTCAGGTGAACGAGAACGATACGGCGGCGGATCTGACCAGTGAATTGGTGCGCCTGGGCTTTGTCCATCTGGACGATCAGGACAAGATCCAGGTCCTACTCGAGGAGACGCTCAAGGCTGGCGTTCTGAGCGATGGCGCCGGAGCGGAAAGCTCAGGCGCTGGGGTGACCACCACCGCGACTATGGCGGCGTTGGAGCAACTGGAGCGGAACTGGTCAATTTCTTCAGATGCCGCAGACAAGCAGGCCACTGCGGTGATGTACGTGCCCCAGGAGCAGCAGCACCTGGATTCGGTGACGGCGGACGTGGAGCAGTCGGGCGCCGCGACGAGCAATTGAGAGTATAAGCTTAGTATTCAGGGCAGGCCAGCGCGTATTGTTTTTATTGTATTGGGAAATTACACATTACGATTTTATTACTACTATTATTTGTTATTTTTATATATATACCTATATATGTATGTATATGTATATGTATGTATGTATTTGAAATAATATTTATGTATGTATGTACCATAAACGATGTTGAACCAGGCTTCCAAGCTAAAGATTTCCAAGACACAAGACACACACACACACAAAAACACTCTAGGGTGGGTCGATTTGTGTGGATCCAAAACAGAAGAATAGTTATATACTAGCAGAAAAGAACGGATAAGAGAATTCTGGTTGAATATTGTAATTTTTACCATTTCAAAAATGTTTTTGAAGCATCTCCATTAAGCCAGACGAAACTCCAGTTCTTTTATTATTTGCTTGGCTTTAATGTAATAATTTATAACTAAAGTCGCTATTTAAATTGCAAATTTTTAATCAAAATTAACTCTTTGGATCCCGAACCTTCAGACATAGTTATCGACCCAACCTTTAGAACACTATTTGAGATATACACCTCACACCGAGCTAAGAAGCTGAATATAACAAGCATTCGCTTAGCACAACTCTTGAGCCAGCTCGAATCGAATTCGCAGCTCTCAAATCATCCAGACACAATTGGAATACGAAAATGCAGATTTGCCAATTTCGAAATAGTGTGTCTGGGCGCCACTACGAAGACGATTTTTTCTAGGACTATATCAAATTTCATAATTTAGCCATGCCGCGATGAGAACAAAACCTAAAACGCAGTGGAATGTATTTAAATGTATTACAAATATAAACAAATACGCAGGGCCACGAAAAAAATAAATTATTAAACTAGAAAACAAGATACAAAACTATATTAACACAAGCAGAGCATGCAACAACAATAATACACAACTGACATAGCTACACTATTATGAAATAAATAAAGATGGCAGCCAGCTAACTAATTTTAGTTTTTCTCTCCCCCACCTTTTATTCGTCAATTAGGTTTAATTCAAGCTCGCATGGAAGCTTAAGGCGATTAAATTAGAGAAGTTGTGTAGCTCAATTGGTAGGCTTATTAAATAAAGTGTCGAATTTATAGCTATTTAATGCCTGAAAGTGAAAGCAAATGCAGTATCAAATTTTTCAAAACATTTTAATTTATTTTGATTTTTATAAATAGAAAAATGTTAGAATACATGATTAGGACAAAATCTCCTACTAGTTGCATCTTTAAGTAATAGCGTACCCTTCATGGGTAAGGTTCCTTTTGATTTCAATTTCATAACCACTTTAAACTTAGAAGATAGAAATGATATTTAAGCACATGCCTGGGCAGTACCCTCGGTCTCTTTTGGCTCTGGGGTGGCCAACTTGCGGCGCTTACACTGGCGTTCGTCGGATTCTTCGTCACTGAAACCCTCCTCGGATGCCTTGATGGGTGTTTCAACACTCTTCTCCTTTTTATCGCTTAATTCTGGTACTTTTCGAACTGATAGTTCCTCTTCGTAGAGGTCTAACAGCTTATTTCCCTCGTAAAGGACAAAAGGTAGCGTGGCTCGCTGGTAATAATCCGGAATCAACTCCAAATTGTTAATCACCGTGTCCAACATGTGTGATTTCTCACACCAGATTCCGGGCGCATCGTTTCGCACAGGATTGATGTGGACATGCAGGTGGTAGAACGAAGGCTGATAATGGAAGTACATGCGTAGCTGGTTAGGATTCACGCCATAACGCTCAAATATTGCCTTCTTTGATGATTCACGCAAGTTACGGAGCAGGTTCAGGTGGCTACCGTTGAGATCCCTCAAAGATTTGATATCGTGCTTGCGTATAATGCCTAACAGATACAGATTTTCAACATTGCGGCCATCCCACTTGAGATCGGGCAGCAGGATGAATCCCGTCTCTGCATCATTGTCTTCGAATACGATTCGCTCCTTCTCCTGCTTATGCTCAAGAATATTGTAGACCCACTCCAAAGAAAACTGGCTTTCTTTGAGGTAGGGCAGGGTTATCTTTTCATATAGCTCGGGAGTCTCCCGAATGAGGTACTTCTGGCAAATGGAATACTTCTCGATGTGCTTGTCTGTTGCAGGATAAATAACAGTGCTCTTGACACCTAGGAAAATTTGATAAATAAAAGTCACAATAACTAATACCGGAATCTTACCACAAAGATCTCTACTTGGAACAACTTGAAAGCTTCCGTAAATGTTGTTCACAAATTCTGTAGCTACCTTCAGATCTGAGCTGAAATAGCTTGGCTTTTTGGGAGACTCTTCTGCAGCAGGTTCAGTAGCCACATCACTTTCCCGATATGCTGCAATCAAGAATCATATTAGGTCTATTAAAATTGAGATAATACCATGTTTCTCCCACCATTTTTCTCAAAAACAACAATTGCATCGTCTGTTTCCGACAGATCTGGAAATGTTCCCAGCAAGGATATACTCTTCCTCACGCTGTTATTACTAAGTATCCGCTTAAGGCGGAATTTCGACAAGTCATATGAAGGCGATTTCGCTTCTGGGCTTTCTGCTGGTGCCGGCATTTTAATTATTACAATAATAAATGCAAAAAAAGAAATTAGTTATCTTGCGGCTTTTATAGTGATGGGCTGGCCAACAAAATCCGAGATATCGATAGAAAGGCAACTTATTCGATTACATAATGAAAAAAGGGACTTTTTTAAATTAAGAAAAGTAAGTAATGGATTCTTTAAAAGAAAATGGATTCAGAAAGTAATTATTTCTGATTCGCTACATCAGTTTTGGGGGGAAAACTTTTATTGGCAGTAAGCTATATTGACCTTCCACGCATTTTCCCCATTGTTGGGAATCCCCCCGAAAATTAAACAGTAAATTAAAAAAAAAATATTTTGTTCCTAGATTTTAATTCAGATTTATGGAGAATCGATCCACAAATCATTTAAGCTATTCCGCTCAAGAATCGGATGCCTATTGGCAAATTTATGGCTTTCGATCTGAGCCATATTGACCTTCCATGCATTTTCCCGAAATTCGAAGGGGACCCCCTAGAAAATTTGACAGAAAATCGAAAAAATATTTTGTTCCTAGATTTTAATGCATATTTGTAGAGAATCGATTCACAAATCATTTAAGCTATTCCGCTCAAGAATCGGATGCCTATTGGCAAATTTATGGCTTTCGATCTGAGCCATATTGACCTTCCATGCATTTTCCCGAAATTCGACGGGGACCCCCTAGAAAATTTGACAGAAAATCGAAAAAATATTTTGTTCCTAGATTTTAATGCAGATTTATGGAGAATCGATCCACAAATCATTTAAGCTATTCCGCTGAAGAATCGGATGACTATTGGCCTTGATATGGCCAATATGGCCTTTAATCAGGGGTTTCAGGGGGTTGCTTCATGGGGAAAAATAAAAAAAATCAAAATCGTTGTTAAATTCTGTTTTATTTTGTTTAGGCCATTAAAGTACTGTTAATGAACTTTAGAATATGTATTTGTATAAACGACTACTTCGCAACACCAAGTGCTGGCCCAATATGTTCAGAACATGAAATATAACTTTCAGCTTAATACTACACTCCTTTTGATCTTACACCTATTGCCGATGTATACAAACAGGGATATTAAAATTTGTTTCTCCGCTGACTTTAAAGTCGTTTATACAACAACACCTTTGGATGGCTTGGTACCTAGGATATCAGAAAGCTTTTGCTGATAGGAGGCCAAAAGGTTGGCGTCGGTTATCCCGAAGGACTTGCACGACAGTTGCAGAGCGTTCAGTAGTTGCATTTCGGAGAACTGTGTCCCTCTTTCCAATAACGCATTGAGTATCTCCTGCGTTAAAAAATATAATTTATAATATTGTTTTAGTTTTGTGAATTCTTTTAACTTACATCCGGTTCCATGCATAGGAGCTCATAGAATTGTTTGGCCTGATCTAAGGCCACTTCCCTGGATGCGGTTATGTTGCTCAATGTTTGCTGCAAGGCAATGGAGTTCCTGCACATGCGCTGCACTGTGATTTGATCGATATGCTCCAGATAGTTAGACGCTTGGATAAGTATACGTGAAGCCAAATGCGCCAAGCCCTCAAAAATGTACTGAAATATAAGAAATAATTCAGATAAGGTGCACTCTATAATTTTGTTCATCCATACCCTGGTTTTTCGAGGATGCAGAGTGGCACTGAAGGCCTCGTCCATCTCGGAAAGTCGCTTAGTTAGGACCTGCACCTGGCGGTCGGGCTCTAGGATGTCATCTTTTGATCCAACATAGCTGTTAGTCCGTACACTCGGCTTGTAGCGCAGGTAGTGGAAGCACTGGACACGCACCTCCAGATGCAGCACCAACAAACAGGTGTTGGCCAGCTCATCGAACTCGAGGGCAAGGTTGGTCATCACCTTAATCGTGCCGTCTTTAACGGCAATGTCGGCGGAGCACTCGGCCGAAACGGCATTCAGTCCGTTCACCATCGGGCGGCGTAGGTCGTTTGCAAACTCGGAAACGCGGCATGAGAACCACTCCATGCTCTCTTGAAGAATCGCAAGCTCCTTAAGCACGCTGATCTCGTCCAGAATCTCCTGCGGTCTTATTCCACCTTCGCCCAGATTACTCGTCAGCATCTCGGCTTCACGAACGTTGCGCTGTTGCACCTGTATGGGACTCTCCTCTTCAGACGGCTCGAAACTGCCGCGATGCAGCTTTCGGTTGTGTCGCGCTCGTTGGCTTGAGCTTTTTAGATCCGTCCAGTTCGGCAGCGATCTTAAATAATTATTTATGTTATAGGTCGGTTACTGTCGGTTTATTGTCATACTTACTTCAAGAATCTACTGATATCTTCATCTTTTAACCAGGCTACACTGTATATTCTTTTGTCCTCGGAGTCTGGCTGCACGATTCCGCGGTAGGCGGCTTGACAGATTTCACGATAGGCTTTGAGGAGAGCACACACCATTTTAAGAAGGTCCTCCGAATAACAGGGAAGATCCTGGATGAGGTTCTTGGTCTCCATTAGTCTCCGTTCGACCATGACAGTAGACTGCAACAAAGGCCGGCTCAAATTGAGGGTTTTCATCTCCTCCGGACTGACAATGGTTCGCCAAGCGTCCTGGTTTTTAGAAAGTGACTCTATGGTTAACTGCAAGTTGCGGTTGTGGCCCTTGGATAGGAATGTGTCCTTAATGTAATTGTCAACAAAGTCGTGCAGGCTGCAGGGTTGCCTGTTATCAAAGAAAGTTAATAAAAATAGTTTATTTTCTAAAGAAATACAACGAACCCTGGCTTGCACTTCATAAAGGCCTCTATCTCCTTAATATATTCCATCAGAGGCAGATACACTTTGGTAATGATATTCTGATCGGGAGTACAGATCAACAGTTTCTCCCGCTGCTTCTTTTCGTGAGGAAATAGGCCGCTGGTAGACCCTTTACCGCTGCCTCCAAGTTGGGCAACTAGATTATCGTCTACAGAGGCATCTGAGGCATTACGGCGGTGTTCCTTACAGGAGTCGTTTTGGCCAGTGTTGCCCACATGAGAGGACTTGTCAAACTTGAACATGGAGCGCTTGGTGCTGTCAGGGGTATAATATTTAAGGTATTTGTTGTATTAAATAACTGTTCGCTTACCTTGGCACCTTGCGTCTTAGGAAATAGGAATTTATGTTGCTAGAAGGTTCCGAAAATCCCGTCTGAGCACTTTCATCCGCGGCAGCATTTTGTATATCCAAGTAGTCGGTTAACAGCAATTGCAACTAAATAAAATGGTAATGGTTTTAATTATAGATGAACTGAGGTTTTAAAGGTATTGGATACTCACCACAGACTGAGCTTGGGCCCAAAAATCTGTCAAGTCGTAGGATTGAGGCCCTACAACCGAATATTTCTGACCCACTGATAAGTAGTTTTTCAGTAGGAGACTATGCGTTTTGGCAATGGCCTTGAACTGCTTAAATATGATTTCCAACAACATTAGGAGCGGATTTTGATCTCCGGTGGCTGCTGTTGCTTCCCCAAATCCTGACTGCGATAGTTGTTGGGTCGTATGTCGGACCACATTGAGAAGTTCCGTTTGGATTTGCACTCGCAGCGTCTCCAGAGAATCAGGCACCTTGTGCAGCATTCCAAACGATTCCACGATGATGGCCACGAAGTAGCTCATGCTTAGCTCCGGGTAGATAAGGTCCGCGTCTTCGATGACCTCAGCCTTGTCCAGATCGAAGCATTGCGCCATTTCAGCGAGGGCCTTGCGCACCCTAGCATTGGCCTCAATCCGATCTGTGGATCGTCGAGCACCAATACCGCGCGTAAAGCTGGAATTCAAACGGCTGGAGTTGCTGCGTTGGAACGCAGATAAGGCCTCGCTGGCAGAGTTCGTGTACACCTGGGTAACCAGCTCTTCGTGCAGCCTTTGGTACAACTGTTGACGACGCGTCTGTAAGTCGGCTCGCAAGTCTGACAAACCTTCGACCGCCTGCAGAGGACCGTTTAAAGTAGTCAAGGCATCGGTCAGTGCCTTGCTGGCATGTAGATACTGGCGCTTGGCTGTATAGCTGACCACACGTTGAGGCACTTTACGGAGCTCTTGGCTGTTTTAAAAAATTATGATTTTATTTATTACTCTGGATTGTTAATGGCATCGCTTACATTTGCTCCAGCATTTCCAGCACATACTTGTGCTGCACTGCGTCCGTCCACATCTTCTTCAGCTCATCTCGCCGGCACTGAAGAAGCCGCTTGCACGCACCTAAGTTCTCCTTGACGGCATGAATCCTTTCCCGGCTAGCGGTCACCTCTGTAGAGACCTGACTAAACAGAGGCAGCACCAATGTGAGCTGCTGGTCATGACGTGAAACCAGCTCATTGAGTCGCAGGTCCGAGCGCTTAAACTCCTGCTCGATTTTAGCCTTCTCCTTCTGGCGTTCCTCGGTAGTCTCGCTGAATCCAAGGGATTTGATGACATTGACCAGAAAACCACAGCCTGCGGACTACAAAGCCACCAGAAAAAGTGAAAAGATTATTCATTACTTATCTCAAAACAAAAAAGAGGGCGTGCAGAAACAACAACAACAGATGGTGTCGTCATCAGCCTTAGACCCGCAAAAACACAATACGACCATCAAGAAGACCTTTTTTATGTATTTTCCGGTATAGTTTATTGCACATGGTAGTTGTTGGGGTATTGAAAAGTTATTTTCAGCGACGGCTTGAAGTAATTTACCTCATCCTTGCCATATTTCACTCCGCGCGGAGGCTTTGTCGGTGGCGGTGCATCCATATGAACGCAGTTGAAATTGAAGGTCCTCTTAGCTGTTTGGTCAACGGAAGCGGGTTTGGAGGCGGAGTGCAGGTTAGCTCAGTATTATTATCATTATTTGATTCGCAATTGTTCTCAAAATTGTTATTAAAGCTAGAAGCACTAGGGCCTGTCAAACTATCGATTACGCTAGTGACGAGCGACCGTTGCCAGCAATCGATCCTAGAGTGACCAGCTTATTTACGTTTGATTGAAATGAATTATCGATAACAAGGCGAAACTTTTTCCGTTCAATTTGACTTGTGGCGCCACTTTCTTGGATAGAAAATATAAGCAATACGCCGGAATATTTCGGTGTTCGAGAGGCCATAAATCTTGGTAACAGCATCTTTCGATAGTTTAACAGCCCTAGAAATAAGCAATATTCAGTAGTAAATATTTTTAAGTGATTTATCAGGAATTTTAAAGTTTTTTTGCACAAAAAGCCAATAGTAAAAAATTTATATCCGCCCAAAGAACTGTCTAATTAAATTTAAACCACAAACGTTCCTTCTTTATCAACTTTATTGTGTAACTGTGTAGTTGCATCTATTTATCTGAGTGCTTGGTCGACTTAAATGTCTTCACTAAATGTTAAGCTAAAGCCAATGCGAGATACATAAAACAATTGTAATACTTGCTTCAAAAAACGCTGGAAAGCTACATTGCATTAAAATATTTTGTTTTGGATTTCCAATTGCTTTTGTTTTTGATTGTTTGCACTTACGTACATTCGTAAATATGCAATCAGTGTGCCTTCATTTATAATAAATATTTTAAATACTCTTTCATTTCTTGTGGTGCTTGTAAATTATGCTATTCAAACTTTTTATATATGATTCTTGCCTTTCTTAAAATAGCAACATTTGAGACTGTTTAGAAAAATTATAGAAAATTTTAAGGATAGGGGGTCACAATTAAAATTGAGTCGCCATAGTTTCTACGCGTTTAGGTACAGTTTACTAATCGGAGGTATTACATAGATGATTGCTTGTTCGTATTTAACATTTAGCAGTTGTGTCTAAGTTCGCTTGAGTGGAAGAGTTACATAGATATGAATGCTTTGCTTTCGTTTCAGTTTCACAGGTGGGATCCTTGGGGTCATAAGACTAAACCTAAATACACAGTTTAAAAACGAGTCGACAGACACTTGAGTGTTTGCCATCATTGAGTATGAACAGTGTGTTTTTGTTGCTGATTTGGCTTGTTAAATATTCGAAGCGATTGCTAATTAAAATTTGGCTTAAAACGTCAATCACCATTCGACTAAGATTATATGCGATTACATCTGGGATGATTGTTTGGCTTTGGGTTGACATAATTGTTCGATTTCAGACTAAAAGGTATTTCACTAATTTAAGTATGTCATTTAAATATGCAAATATGTTTAATCTACCAACGCTGGGAGCTGTACTTTTGGCTCGCACTGTAGCTGTAGCTGTAGCTGTAGGTGTGGCTGTGGTGTGATTACTCCTTTTTGGGCAACTCACTGTTCATGATGCTGAGCCGCCGGATGTTGGGCTTGTCGTAGTCCTCCATTGAAATGCCCCGCGAAAGCCGCCGGGAACCGTTGGCACCCTCCAAAGACCCTGAGCTAGCGGTGGAAAAGGCGCGTCCGCGATCCACTCCAGGCATAACCACTGATGTGAGCAGACCCTGACCCTTGCAGAAAAGTAATATGGACTGGGCCACTTTTCCGGGCTGAAATATGGATTAGTTTTAAATATTATTTGTGAATAAGTTATAAAGGACTTGAATATTTAATCACAGCTACTTACAGCATCAGCCAGGACATCTCCAGCCCGTTCAATTTTCAATATGGTAACTCTTTCCTTCTCCACATCTCGATGCAGTTTCTCCACCATTGAGGCATAAGGACTCAGCATTCCAGTAATAAGAATGACATCCACTTTGCATCCTTTGAGCGTAAGGTCCTTGCGACTAAAAATAAAGAAAATGAAGTTATCATCCAGTAAGGCTTCCTCAGCTCGAAAAGTTTATAAAGTTTCTTGGCCCAAAACTTACTTCATAAATGCTTTGACGTACAAGCCGATGTTCTTGCTGTTTAGGGAACGATGCAGACGCTTCTGGTATTCGGCCACAATCTTGTCCTTGTCCGGGTTCTCGCCCACGATTTGCTGTAAATTTCGGCATTTCACCGGGTTGTGTGTAAGTGTGCAGTGTGAGTAAGCAAAACATTGGCATGAGACTGGAGGTCAATAAATTAAAGCAATACACAACAGTAAGCTGCTACTACTAACTACGAAAACAACATGCATGCAAAAAAAAATAACAGAAAGCATTCAACAAATAACACGAAAAGAAGGACAAAATGAGAAGAATTCTTCGTAAGACAATTCTTGATTCAGGCCAATTTCTTGCTGGATGGTAGAGGGGGAACTACATACCCATTTCTAAAAGAAAGTAACAAGAAAAATAAACATGCTGTAAATAAAAGGGGTGACTAAGTCTATAAAAAATAATGGAGGGAAGGATCAAATTTTATATTGATTTTATTGGAACAAATATCACCGATTGAGAGAGAGAGGTTGGCTGAGGAAGAGACTTATTTAAGTGACTTTAGATCTGTTTACCTCCATAACCTGAAAGCGCAGACGAACATTGTTCGTTTCGAGCGGTGGTGGTTAAGTTTAAACATAAAATAGAACAGAAGGTAAAGTGAGTACGACACTGAGATAAAACCAACGACAACACGCAGTTCACAGTAAGTACATATATATTGGCAAATGTACTCTGGATATAGCCCGTCCGCCCCCATCTGATTGCTACTACTTACATGTCCAAATTTGTGGTACATCAGAAAGCTCTCAGCCGACTGGGCCACCTCGTCGCTCTTCCAGCTAATGAACTGAAAAGGCACAAGAGGGGAATCACATTAATTAGCGCAGCTCAGTAAACACACCAACTATTAGTGGATGTACAGAAAAAGTAAATAAAAAATCGAAAATTCAAGAAATAAATATTTAAAATGAACTAACTGGAAAACGTTAATGTTCTACATGATTTTTAAACTTTTAAACTTTAAACTTTATATATGTAATTGAATTGAAAATATGCCCAAAGGCAGAAAGTTTCTATAACTGAAAACAAACACAAGCAAGACCACGCGGCGTATGAGTAACAAAGTTTTTGTAAAAATCTAGAAAAATGTTTTCTTTTACTTTTGAAAAGTTTTGAAGGACGACGCCAACACACCCACCTTGTTCTTGAAGGACTGAAGCACACTGGCTGCACTGCCAGTGGCATTGATCAGGATCAGACCGAGCACCCGGCTGGGATGGGCCAGCCCGAAGCGGGCTAGGACATTGGCACCGGCGCCCTCGCCCAGGCCAATCACGTACTTTACGTGCAGGTAGTCCAGCACGGTGACCAAGTCCTCGCCCAGGGACTGAAGCGAGGGAAATGGGAAGCCATCGGCCAGGGCATCGGCATTGTCCGCGTGTCCCGGCACATCCACGTGAATGAAGCAGGAGCGCTCCTTTATCTCCGTCATGCAGGGGCTGCTCACGAACTCCTGGAAGGAATTATCTGCGACCGGTCGCTATTAGTTATCTGCCGGGCTGGTAATTAGTTCTCCGGGGAGGCAACTCATCTACTTACGATTGCAGCCCAGGTCGTGGACCGTAATGAAAACGGCGCGTTTCTCCTGCTGCGACAGGTCGCCCTAAATTAAAATAAAACCAAATATAATGCCCTCTTGAAAAGGTCGAGAAATATATAAATGGGCCCTTTCAGACTACAACTCACCTGAACTACAACAGTAAGATCTCCGCATTTCTCCGTGCTGATATTGTATTTCTGCAAAGGCGGTAATCAAAATATAAATTGAAGTGCTCTTGGAATGTTTGGGGTTCAGAGGAAACAAGAAAAAAACTTGAAAACTTTTTCAAAAGAAAAGTAAACGGCAAAATCATTTTCACGTTGCCATAAACACAAGCTCAAGCGTGAAAAATGACGGGCATGAAATGACCAAAAAATGTGGAATGTTTTTCTCTGTATTTGACTCTGTGAGCGTTTGCTTTTGGCAGGTCCTTGATGATGTCCTCCCATTCATGTGTCGTCTGTGGTCCATGGGCGCTACAGCGCCAAAGCCTTGGGTAAGTTTTGAGTTTGAATTTGAATTTCTGGTTGCTCGTTTCTCGTCCTGGCATGTTAAATATTTGGGAGTGCATTTAATATACTCATACATCCATATATTCATGAAGTGGAATTTGGCAAGGAAATTTGTACGAAATGCCAGAAAAGTGAACATTCTTAAACACACCAAACTGTTGAATGTTTGTGTGGGTGATGCAACAACAAAAACTTAAATGTAAGCTTAAATATTATGGGCTCTGGGGAATTTTTCGACTCAGAAAACTCACTCGAGACTGTTTGATGAAAATTTCCAAATTGAATTTTGTGGGAAAATGTCTGCAAGTGACGCAAAAAGTTACATTGCCCTGGATTAGTTGTAGGAGGCAGAGATACTCTGAGATTAGTTTTATTTAATCATAAATCCGACTTCCTATACTCCCTTAAATAAATTGCGTTTAAGATGATACTCCAAAGACTCTTACGTGGGAAGTGGTTACTTTAATTAATTTGGTTCGGTAAGGTAGGTCCTTTGTATTATCTTTGCTTTGGTTAGAATTCGAGGGATTCGCAATTCGAAGACCAGGCTATTGATTTGGAAAGTTCATGCCTTGAATAAACTGAAATGCCCTGCAATACACTGGACGGGCACGTCAGGAACACTGTTTTGTGTGAAGCTATCAGTTTCAGGAGCCGACGTCTGCCTCGACCTAAACCCAATTGGAAATTTATTAAAGCGTAAAGCAAATAAGCCTGCAAAGCTCCTCAAATTGAGAGCAGGCTGTTGTCCTTTGTCAGCCATCCTGGCCACTGCTAACCCACACAACCACACCACCAACACACCCACACACACATCCGCAGGCATATAGCCATTGAACACTTATTGAAATTGAATGAAACTATACAAGTGTCAAAAGACCAGCAACAGCAACATCTTCGGGCCAAGAATTTGCCTAAGCTCTTTAATGTCTATCCGTAGAATTTCCCTCTCTTCCGATCGGAGGGAGGGATTTTTGTGTAAGCCAGTAAATAGATAAATAAACGGAATGGGT